GTTAAGGCAGTGGAAAACTTGGAGAGGGGAATTAACAGGAGATAACTGATAACTGACATCCATTAAACATGGCAGGTGGAACTAGAACAGTCTACCCCAGTGAGCGAAATAAAGGGTTCAGTTCGACATTCCAACCACCTGAAGGAGGCCGGAGCGTACAACGGCCGAAACGTTGTAATAAATATGGCAACAAAGATGAGGACAATAGTCCGAATAATCTAAATAGTGTACATAATACCTCATCTCAGAAATATAGACAGATACTGAAAGGCCGAAACGTTGTAATAAATATGGCAACAAAGATGAGGACAATAGTCCGAATAATATAAATAGTGTACATAATACCTCATCTCAGAAATATAGACAGACTTAAATATAATTTTTTTTAAAAATTGTCTTAAGTAACCCACTTAGCGTGGAATATACGACTTTACCCTAAATACCTGACCGGATACCGATAAATTAGGGTTACATTTTCTATATGCCATGTGCATCCAGGACGTGGGTAATCATGGCTCTTTACAAGTTTTTACCTTTTTGTATTAACTCGTAATACCTGTTGTCTTTTTCCTATTATCCATCTGTTCTGTCAACAATTTTCACAAGCTAGTTCAGTAAGTTATTTTTCGCTCTTTCTCGGTCAATCTTGCCTTAATTACGTCTTGTGAGTATCAAATTCTCCAAGTCATTTTCCTCATTATGTTTTCTAGAAATTTCATATTCTAATCATAAGTGAACTTTTTGTTTCCAATTTTCCGAAACTTCGTCGTTTCTTTGTTATTATAAAGTCGATTAAGGGTGCCTCATCATGTGGTAAATTTTAGCGAGTTAGTCTGGTTTATGTTGAACAGTTCGGTCCTTGTATGCTTTCAGTTTTGTGTCAGAAGAAAACCAATTTAAAAAAAATATATTATGAATGGAAATTATAAGGGAGAAGAGGTGAAAATTTGAAGAAAATTTGCATTAAGCTGCAATTTTGTGTATTGGTCCAAAAAGTAGTTGTTTTCGATTTTAAATGACAAGAAATTATTATACATGGTTAAAAAAGTTGAGACATGGTTTTTTATTATTAGAACTGTTATTATGACAAAAAGAAAAAAGAATTTTATGATTAAATTTTGCTCTCGTCAAAATATCCTCCTTTAGCCTTGATTACTGCAGCAGAAAGTTTTGGCATTTGTTGCAAACGTTTCTCAAAGTGTAAGTTTTATAATTGATTCCACTGGTTTTTCAATGACTCGAAGAGCGGTTTTTCATTTTGTTCATTCTTCTGTTAAGTTGATAATTCTGGGAGTGGCTTCAAACTCTTGAAATGTAGTGTATATTTTTATATTGGGGCAGCAGTCCTTCGTTTATACATTCTTCATTGATTTTGTCGTATAAAGAGATTTTTGTAGGTTTTTTATTCAGTTTTTCTTTAGTCCATAGTGTAGTTTTTAATGAGGATTATAATGTGTAGAAACTCTGTCATTAGTGATTATTGATCTAAGTGCTTTCGAATAATTCTTTAATCATTTTCAAAGGGTTCATTGTTAGCAATTTTTGTGCAGGTATTCTATACTTTTTTGTTTAGGATTAGTATTAATTCCATTTCGCGGTGCCCTCAAAACACATCCAATGTTACGGCTAGTTTCAAAGCATTGTTAATGTTAAGTGTAGGTCTACAGTATTTCATTCAAAAGTGCTTCCATTATAGTTAAACAACTTTTACAATTAAATATTTAGTTACATATGTATGTGGTGACGCTGGTTCTACAAAAACGTTCAGAATAGGGAGACAAATATAAACAAACTGCAAGAGACAGAGAGACTTGTATGATCAGACAGAAATAGATAGATAATGAACAGACCGGGATAGATAGATAGATAGATAGATAGATAGATAGATAGATAGATAGATAGATAGATAGTCATATGTATTTACAGATTTTATTAAAATTGATTATTCAGCAAAATAATCGGAAACCAAGAAAAATACACTTTTGCTTTTTATTTAATAAATTTCTAAATAATTTTATCACCAATTCAAAAAAAAATTACTTTTCATCTCTTCTCCTGAAACGAAACGATTAAAGTCAGAATATAAAGGCCCGATAAATAAATAAAGAGATTGCTGACCAAGCAAAAATGGCGCCCGGGAATTAATTACTTAATTACATCGGTGTCAGACGCGGTCGTCGCATCGTTAAATTATAATGTTAATAGTAACGGTATTGTTAGTAGCAGCGATAATGGATTTAGTCGAGAGATCCCATGTCGCTGTTTTCGGCGGTAGGAGACACTGGGGGGGGAGCGACAATGAGAGACGGGAAGCCAATGGTGTTCATATTTGATAATGTTGCGCAGACTATCATTATTTTGATTAGAAATGAGGTGGGTGGGTAATAAAATAGAGGCAATGATGGGGAGACAATGAATAACGTCCTTTGAAAGAACAGACGACTTAAACTGAATGAAAAAAAAATTTACGTTGGAAAACAAAACAGATTAAAAAAAAAATAACTTTTCCCTCATCAATTTTCTATGGATAAATTAAAAAGAGAAATACTTTTTGTTGCAATTTTTATTTTTAATTTATTCCAAATCGTCATTATCTTAAAGGTTTTTTCTTTCTTTTAAAAACCTATCAACTCATTTGCAAAGTAGACTTCGCCACCCATTCCTGATGATATTTTAATGAGGGTGCTAGTTAACTGGCTTCGTTTTCGCTTAATTGTTTGAGATGAGTTCTTGTTTTATGAGTACTGAAGACTCTTCCTTTTTTAAAATCTTGATGGAGTGTAAGCAAAATGGGTCTAGTTGAAATTTTATCGTTTGATAAACGATTTTTTATTCAAATTTTATTCTTTTCTTTCATTTTCATTCGTTTTATTTCCTTCTATTTTTATTAATATTTTACATTTTTTCTCTTACTTATTCCTTTGGGTTTTTTTATTCTTCTTATGGCCATACTTCATTTTTTCTTTCTTTCATCATCTCTCTC